CATGTTAGACTGCACCCCATAAACACAATTAAGCCTAGAAAAAAACCAGTGAACCTCCCCTTTAAAAAAAACTTTTGAACTGTAAAAGTCAGTTTTGTTTTTTAAATCTCTCTTTATGCGAGTAAATCTTTTGACTTCATCTTTTAGATTCTAATGTAAATAGGCCTTGATACCCAAGGGGAAAGAAGTCTAGAATGTACTGAATTTTCCAATGATCACTCATATTGTCAAATTCCTAAATGAAAAAAGAAAAAGAAAAACACTGACACTCCCTTCCCTAAGGACTCTTCTGTAGGACATCACAATGTAGAAGTGGCTTTCGGCATGAGGATTTTAGGCTCACTACTGCTGAAAAGTTTATCCCTACACAAATTGGCGTTAAAGGCTAAGCCAGTCTCTCAGAGATTTTAGCTGGGGGTACTAATGGTTAAACCATGTAACTTTGTGGGGTGTTCTTTGTAAAAACTAACATTTATTTTGCTTCACTTGCGTCATAAATAGGCCTTTTTCTTCAACGCGGAAGTAAGCCTATGGGTGGGCTAGACCCATAGAATTTACTAATGGCTGCGCCCATTTTTATGGCAAGAAAAAGGTGGATAGGCTACCTCAAATCGTGGACATGTGGCAAAACACTGTAAATGTTCCCTAGTATATAAAAACAAACTTTTTAATGGATATAGTCATAGGTTGGGAAATGTAACTTGAGTTTTACAGATTTTCAAATCCACAGAGAACGAAGGTTGCAATGAGAAAATGAGTGTTTCAGATTGCATTGAATTCCTCATTGTGAATTTTCCAAGTACTGAATGGAGTCCGATTCTACTGGTTTAGGATGGCAAGCTGAATTATTTAGCTCTGAGTGGTTCTCCAGTGTCCATTTCAGTCCTTTGTGAGATTTTGGTTATACAAGGTATATAAAACAAACTATTATGGGCAGGCTTTGTATAAATCTGGATTTGTTTGAACTGAGTTCAAAAGTGATCTGCTCTCTTCTGTTCTGCAAGCATGTGTATAACACGTGAAATGTTCTCTTCCTTTGTATGTCACACCCAAAGAGCCATTCAAACGCTTTTTTTATTGTATGAGGTTTGTTATCAGAGAAGTCCTATACCCCTGGTAGCAGCTTTGTATGTTTTCGCTTTCATTGTATTTGTGGTGGGAAGTTATGACGTTGGTGTTTTCCTCGCTGTTGTGTAACCC